AAAGACTTTTTCGACAGATCCCTTATGGCTCCTGCAAGGAGATTTAGAGGATCAGTCGAAAAAGGCTTTCTTTCTCGACAGATCCCCCTCTAGACTGCCACTTTTTGCCAACAAAGTGCTGAGTTGGCAAAACATGGTGGCCATTTTTATGCAAATTAGGCACAGGATATTTAAATCCCTGCCTCATTTGCAATGTCGACCTGTCTAATCTGCATCCCTCTGCCGACAAAGGGATGTAGTCTAGACATACCCTAGGAGGGCTCCACAGATCTTGACACAGCAGCCTTAGAACGGCCGCAAGCCAGGCAGCAGCACTCAGCTGGTGGCTGGGAGGCAGCACAATGCTAGGTGAGGGGGGCAGGCAGGCACGGGGAGTTCAAGGGAGCAGGGCTAGTGCTGGGGGTGTTGGGCTTACACTGGGGGGCTTTGGGGTGGGACTAGTACTGGGGAGCTCTAAGGGGTGGGGGCTTTAAGAGGCAGGAGGCTGACACTGGGGTGTCTGGGTTGGGGAGCTGGCACCGGGTGGCTCTGGGGGCAGGGCTAGTAGCAAAGGGGTTACACTGAGGTGGGGTGGGTGCTGGAGTGGCATAGAGCATTAGCTTGTGGCGGGCACGGTGGTGGCAGGTTCAAGTTCTGCCTACTCTAGGAGGGGCAGGATAGCCAATACAGGCTGCCCCAGGGACAGAGCTAGCTTCTGTATTTGAAAAGCAGGGCAAGAGACCCCCTGAAGGTAGGGAGGTGGGCAGGGCTCTGGAGTGGCCTAGGAGTTGGGGGCTTGAGTTCCACCCACCCAGGGAGTGACCAGACAGCTAATAAAGGACCCTCTGAAAATAGGGTAGTGGGTTGGGCTATTGAGTGGACTATGGGATCCATCACTTGACTGGAGAGGGCAGGGTGGTGGTTTCAAGTCCTGCCCCGCCCCCTCAAGAGTGGCAGGATAGCCAAAAGGGGCTGCCCCAGAGACGGAGTTGGCTCCTGCACTTGAAAAGCAGGATAAGAGACCTGCTGAAGGTAGGGAGGTGGGCAGGGTTCTGGAGTGGACTTGAGGATACAGCATTGGCCTGGGGAGCATAGGGTTGGGAGCTTAAGCTCCCCACGCCCACCCTGAAAGCAGCCAGACAGCTCACCCAGGGATGAAGCAGCAGAGCTAAGGCAGGCTTACTCCTGCACTATTACTGAAAGCAGCTGGCACATACAACCATGGCTCCATGTGCTGCCCCTCATCTACAGGCCCCGACCCCACAGCCTCTACTGGCCACAGTTCTCTGTTATTGATCAATGGGAGCTGCAGGAGTGGTGTCCACAGGCAAGACAGTATGTGGAGACCCCCTGCTCTGCCTTTCTCAGGGGCTACAGGGGCATGCCAGCCACCTCCTGGAGCACAATCACCACAGGGATAATTACTCCAGACATGACAGGGTAGGCATTTTAGATCTCACTACTCAAAGAATTAAATTGAAGTGTGAGAAATATGAAGGTTATGAAATGCACGGACCAGTCAAACACTAAAACAAACCCACTTTGGGAGCAGTAAAAGTGGTAACAGCCCCCGTGTACGTGCTGGGCTGGGAGAGGAGAGGGAAGGACAGTGTGTGTGTGAGAGTGACAGAGATTTGCACTGCCAAGCTCCCTCCATCCCCTTCTCTCTGTGTGGAGATGGGGTGCAGGAGTGCGGAGAGGAGGGACACGCTGACATCAGCACCCCCCTTCTCCCTCCTACGCCCAGCACAGCAAGCAGGGGGGCAGCTTCAAGGCAGAGGGCAGAAGCAACCTGACAATAGGTGGAGGGGCAACTGAAGTGCCAGCAATTGGTATGTTCCGGGCCACACCAGTCAGGACCACCTCTCAGAGGCTCCAGGATCTACTGGTAGATCCCGATCTACTGGATGGTGCCCAGTGCTTTAGTGTAAACACTATGAAAGCAGTCAATCACCTTGTGCGTGGTGTAAGTCAGGTAGGGCCAGCCCAAGCCATTCATGCGCCCCGGGCACCAGGAGTGCGGCGCCGCCCCCGGGAGTGCGATGCATGCGCGGCCTGGCCACCCAGGAGCACAGCGTCCCCTGCCCCCGGGCGCCCAGTGCATGCGCAGGCCCGTTCCGGGCACGTGGCGTATACGTGGCCCCGCCCCCAGGTGCGCAGAGCCTGTGTGGTGCCGCCCCGGCCTGGCCCGGCGCCCCAGCCCGGCAGCCCTGCACGGCGCCCTCTATAATGGGGCGCCCCGGGCAGTAGCCTGGTCAGCCCGTAGGTTGGGCCGACTCTGAAGTCGGGGTAGGTGGGAAGGTGCTGCTAACATTTTTTTAAGATATTGAAGCTGTAGAAGATTTTTGGACTTTGTTTTTGTAATTCTTGTATTAGTATCAGAGTTAACATCAGAAATCTTTCCTCCACCCAGCCTCCAGGTATCTGAATTGTTAGATGTCAGAATCTGGAGGAAGCAGTACCTCTGACTCCTGGGATTAATGCTAAATTAATTGAACCAAGTGACTTCTTATATTGTAGACAAATTAATATGATACTTGGGAATACTTCTGTATGTTTTGGAAGTAAGTTACATTGAAGGGCAAGAGAGATCACTACATCCCACTCTAAGAGAAAGTTAGCCTCTTAGAACACTGATACATTGCAGTGTAGTTATTTGTAACCAAAACAGTAAAAATGGAAGGTTTGAGATGAATTCCACTGAGGTATCTATCATCAGATTTATAAAGGTTCTTATTTCATGTATTTTCCTCTGCATTGATTTTGTGAGTCTCAGTGCAATAATCCTTGCATGTTTTTTAAACCTGTGGTCATACTAGGTGACATTTGTGACACTGGAGTTAATCTAGTTGTGATGTTCACACAATTGAATCTGTGTTATCTGAATCTTGAGAAAATTGAGTTTCCTTCTTCAGCAATGTTATGGAACTTACATTTTGTGCTAAAGAAATATAGAAAACATTGTAGTTCATGTCTGTTGTTTGTATGCTGACATGTGAGGTATGTAATTTTAGTAATAAAAAGCAAATCTTAATAGGAAGTACTCGAGTACATTAGAGTTGTATATCATTGCAGAAAGCTATTTATTTCCTTACACTTCCTTATACATTTTCCCAATTGGATTTCTCTATTAACAGACCAAAATAAACTGAAGAAAGTAACCAATGTCCAATTCCCTGTCATAAGTCTCTTAGGGATTCAACTTCAATAAAATAATATTGCCACATGTTTTTAAAAACTATCAATTCACCTTATGTTTCACTCTTGTATCAAATTAAACTAAAAAGAAAACTATACATATAAAGTTCATTTTTTTCAACATAGCCACTATATTGTATTATAGTAATTCATTTGTCCATTTCTGCTAGTTCAATGTTACTAAGAGAACTGGCAATATTTATTCACAAAGACTTTTTCCCAAAACGTCTCAGAATTTATATGTTTATTTCTAGAATGGCTTTTCCATTTTGAAAGTAAAAAAAGTTTGAAAAATAGGAAGTTGAACTAGGTGGCAAGATGACTTTCTCTATTTGTCTTCAATAGATTTGTTTATAAATTAAACAAGGGGTTTCTTTTTATTATTTCTTATCTAATGCATCTGCAGGACAAGTATTACAGAAATATTAAATGCCTCAACAGAAGCTGCATTTCAGCCTTTTGCGCAGAAAGGAAGAGTCTCTTTTCTAAGTCCTTGCAGGTGGCTCTTCAGAAAGTCAGGGAGGATCTAGGACGGGGCAGGCAAAATATGGCCCGCAGGCTGGGCTTCCCTCCCCCCTGCAAAACCACTGGATCTGGCCAGCCAGACTCCATGCCTGCCCTGCCCTCGAATGCTGCTTAGAGCAGCTCTCCGAACACTGTGAGCCTGTCAGGTATCGGGAGGTGGAGAGACTTTGTACACTGCTGCCATATCTGGCACAACTGACAGCTCCCATTGGCTGGTTTTTGTCCAATGGGAGCTGGCTGTTTGCAAGACAGGCAGACTGCAGAGTACTCCTCCCTCCTCTGGGTTGCTGCATTTAGACTCAGCCACACATAGCTCCCGCAGCTGATGTAAGAGCATGGAAGGTAAGGGCGCCATTTCGGGAGGGTAGGGGGGCAATAGCCGTACGCTCTGGGATGCTGCTTGCTTTTCATTCCATTCCCCAGACGCTAAGGGAGAGAGGGGGAAGTATGTGCATTCCGTGCATGCCTCTCACAACTAATGAGAGTGATGCTTACCAGGTAACCAGTTACCTGTTCACATCCCTAATGGGGAGCCACAATTTCAAGTGCATAACTTTCTATGTGAAAAGTATTTTTGAAGAGTATTTCCCTCACAGTTCTGCTAGGTTTTTCTATTTCTTATACAGCTTTTTAGGCATATATTCAACATGCAAAAAATAGAAGACACTAATAACAGAATAAAAAAATAACAGTTCCTCACATATTTTGTTCCCACTTCCCCCTGGAATATGATGCTTAGGAAGCCAAACTTTCTAAGACCTTTTCGGGTCCAATATGAGTTGAAACCCTTTACACTCACGATAACTATAAAAGAAACTTTTCTACAAGGGAGACTTCATTTTTCCATTCATTGTGTTCTAGCTTTCAGGAATGGTTTGGAACAATCAAGGAACATCAGCAACTAGAAAATCTCTACTAAAGGATGAACAAACTCACCATATGGAAATAAATGTAGAAGTCTAGTAAATATAAGCTTTAAATTATGAAGCTGGCTATTAATGAACAGAATAAAGGGGAAAAATTGAGATGAATAGAAATGTCTGTTTTCATATCTTTCTAGGAATGGAATATGGATTATAATAGTCAAAGTATACACACAATCTTCAAACTAATATGCATCTACCTTCTACGGGCACAGTTTTAATATGGCCATAGAAGGCATGGTTTTAATATGCTCAAGGATTTGATTATGAATGATAGGGTTATGTCTCTCCGTTCCCACATATTAATTCTACTGGTGCTAATACAGAAGAATAATCTAAACATTTACTAAATATTGAAAATGAAATCACACAAACCCTTAGGTCCTTCATCCTTCTTGTTGGGAGATTCCCTGATAGGGTCATCAATACTGCAGTCTGTCCCTGCCCAGGAGAAGTTACAAATGCAAGTGGCTTCATTACTACAGACCTAGAAAAGAAGAACATGAAAATAGCTGGTTGTGAAATACTTTTGATTAAGGTTATTCAGTATATGATAGAAATAAGTTTTAAGATTCACAGAATAAAATTTACTGAATACATATTATAACAAATGTACTTCGAACTCTGCTGCTCAGCAAGTGCACAGAAAAAGGCCTGGGGAAATCTGAATTTCACTTCCTGTTTGGCCAGTGTGCATGCAAACCTCAGAGCAGGCAGCACACCTGACCATGAATGCTCAGGGTCAAAAATGAGCTCCAGCATGGAGCATGCAGGAGACCCTGAACCTCATTGCTGTGTGGGTTGAATAATCTGTTCAGGTAGAACTATGAAGAAGCCAAAGAAACAAAGGACCTCAGGCAGGCCTACCAGAAGACAATGGAGACAAATGGATGGTCAGGGCTGGCACTACAAACATGCTGCTTCTATGAGTAGCTGCAGCATGGGATTATAGGGGAGGAACGTGATCAGTGTCCCAACTCAATCCACAGAGTCCTCCCAAGAGTCTTCAGGCACCAGCCTTGGGTAACAGCAGGGAGGACAGTGTGGACGAGGAAGAGGAGGAGGAGGAGAATGGTGTTAGAATGGGCTTTTGGATGTTTAAAGGGAAGGTTTCTCAGTTTATTGACTAGGTTTATCCTGCAGCAGGTGGATGCCAGAGGGAGAAACTAGCCTGGAGGAAGAAAGTGGGGGAAGATGCTGGCCTTCGGACAGGGTAGGAAACAGCCCAGTGCGGGGAGCTGGAGGGCACCCGGAGAACTCGGCGTATTTCGGGTGGATTCCCTGCTGAGCTAGTGGTGGAACATGCCCACCACTGACAGAGCCCAGGGCTGGGGCCCAGTGGAGAGGGAGGGCCTGGGTTCCCCTACCTCCCCATCCCACTGACCCTCAAAAGGGGTGAGTGCCTTGACAGCATTATAAACTTGGCTGCTGGGCCTTACTGCCCCATGAACTGAGGACCTTATAGACTTGCACGCTGAACCTTACTGCTCCATTGATAGTGGCTCTATATGGGGAGGGGGGAATGATTATAGGGTGAGGCACCCAGATGGGACCTAAGAGGCTCCCCCCCTGGCTGGGTTTCCCACACCGTTGCATGGCCTTACACATGCAAAAGTTTTGTAGCCACTGCTGATTGTCCCATTCTTCCTCATTCTTTCAAACTGAAGGAATCTGCTTATCCTCTAGAGAATAGGCCAGGAATTCACTTTAAAACTGTCTTGGAAAATTTGGGCTTAACCCCACCAAAAATTACATTATACTTTTAATAATTATGAACTCCGAACAAATCAATAAAATGTATCATTATAAGAAATAGAGGATGATGGTTTTAAACTGATGATGGTAAAAATTAAAATTAGAGATGGAGTAAATTACTGAGGAAAGTGACAGAAGGAAGGTGGGCTGGAGAAGTGAAAAGATAGAAAGAATGAAATTTTTATTAAAAAAATTAGCAGGGCAGTTAGTCATGAACAGAGGTACCAAATCAACTGGTACATAATGTATAAAAACTATAGACTACATAGTCTATAGCTAATGTTTAACCAAGCTGTCAGACAGTACAAAGCTCTCCATCAAAAGTAAATAATCCGTGTAATTTCTGTTTATACCTTTATCTCATTCCGCATCCTCTAGGGTTCGCTAAAGAAGCTTATCAAGAAGGATAAAGATAACTTTAATCTTACTTGTAAGAAAGGTCTGTTGAACTGAACATTTGAATTAGCAAAGGCACAATAGAAATGTGGAAAAATCTTCAAAGTTTTCAAGAGAATTCCTGGAGCCCTTTCTTAACTCCCCTATTGCTCCTCCCTCTCTCTCTTTCTCTCCCTGCCCCCTTCACTATGCATCCAATTCTCCTTCCTTCTTTCAGTCTGTCTCCCTTTAAGAATTCTCTTCCCATCTGAATCTTCCGTAATAAGAAAAGCATATATATATCTATACTCCAGTCCTCTTTGGTACATATCTGTAGAAATTATAGCAGTCTATCTTATCTCTTGTTGGTCCTGCTCTCCCTGCCAAAAAGTGGGGAGGGGAAGCATAACTGGCCTGAAAAATGAAGTGTTCGATCATTTATTAAGACACTTGTTAATTTAATCATATGTGCTACGATGGAAATAATGTCAAAACTATGTATAATTTAAACGAGGAGTTCCTAAAATGTGGGCCACTCTACTTTGACAGTTCCAGGAAGTCCCCTGGTAAGACTGCGTACTCCAGTCAATCTCTTAGTAAATCTTTAATTCCAAGTAACTCTAAGTAAAAGCAACATAAATAATGTTTTAAGCTGTATACAGTAAACTTCAGATAATCTGTCACCGTTAGGACCTAGGGGGTGCCGGATTATCAGATATGCCGGAGTACTGGAAGGGGGGCTATGAGGAGTCTGGGGAAGGGTCGACGGGGAACTGCGCAGCGTGGGAGAGGGCGGCGCTGCGGGACCAACCCGGCAGCACCCCAGCTGCTCTGCCCCCGGCTTCCCCAAGTCCGCTGCTGGTCCGTTTCACTGGGTGCCACTACTGCGGTAGTGGCCGGAGTCCCAGGCCCGTTAAATTGCTATTGGAGCACTGAAATGCATACTCTGGGTGGCTCAGAGTTCGGGAGTGGGGAGGGGTGTGTGCTGCAGTCTGGGCAATGCTGAGGTCTGGCTGCTTCTACCCTGCACCTTCCGTGAGCTCAGAGCCACTCCTCACCCCTCATCTTGTCCAGGGGCCCGCAGAGGCTGTCCACTCCCCTGTCTAGCAATGTACAGTCTACTATTGACAAGTGTAAAAAAATGGCAAGCGGTATTTTAATCTGACATGGATCTACTTTGCTTTTGAAAATGAGAAAGTGCACTGGTGGGATGAGAATCACAGACCATCTTCACCAACACAAAATGAGCCACCCAAAAAAACAAAAGAAAGTGATGAGAAGAGAGGATGACAAATTCTTTAAGTTTGGATTATACTTTACTTGATTGGATGAGCGTGATAATAGAGCTGTTATATTTTTATTATTATTTTCTAATGAGTAGAGTTGGGTCTTTTCTCACACAGCACAGAATTTAGATTATACACTAAATAAATTGAAAAGCCAGTATTTAAAGACAACTATTTTGATTTTAAAACAACCTTGTTAACATTATTGTGTTGCTTATTCAGTTTTATACTGTGTAAACTTATACATTGTTTCCCTTGTTTGAATGCCACATTTCACTCAACATTTTTTAAATTGTTTACAAAAACTGGTGGGTTTAAAAGATTTTTGAAGCATTTTTGACTGCATATTGCTAGGAATTTCTATCAGTACAACTGTTTACATTAAAATGAAAAGAGAATATGTACACTGCATTTACAGTTAATGTATGTAATTAAAATTAATGATTTTCCTCAAGAAGTTTTAATGGGTCACAGTTCCTATTGATGCAGCACAGATCAGACTCCAGGAAAGAATCCTGGGAAACCCTGGTTTAAACAATAACGACATCTTTAATTAGGCAGAATAAGACAATCTGCATATGTAGAGGGTCAACATTCATATTTCATTCTGGAGTACAATGTAACATGAGGAGGGCTAAGAGGATTAACTAGCCCAATGTTTTTTCTTAAAAGTATATATTATTAATTGTCCTAGGAAAATGTGATATTAAGCTATGAGAATTAGACGCTTTCTGACCAGCACAGTGCAATAGAGACAATAAATAGAATGAGAAGGCTCACCTATGAAACAAACCTGGGATTATTTATGTGAGAGTCTAGAGTCATTAAGAGGTCCCCTATTAAATGCTATCAAATTAAGCTTAATAAACTGGAATGGGGGATTATGGGTTTGTTAAGAGGAAGTATACTGCATGTAAAAAAGAATTTGTGGAGAATAAAGAAACAAGCTTTACTCAAGGAGAAGGCCAGTAATTTAGTATTCAATTCACAAAGTCAGCCTGTATGAATGAATGCACACCAAGTAAGGATGTGCCATTTTCAGGTATTGTCTACCAGGAGACGTTCCTTGGCTACTGTCTGCAGTGGCAAGCTATCCCTGTCATTACACAGGTGCAATCCCTGATAGAGATAGGTAAAGTTATTTGCACTAATGGTTCTTAATCCACTTTCAATGAGATAGACACCTTACCAAAAGAAGTTAATCAGGCTTCAGATGAAGACACAACCCCCTGCATTTGTTTCCCTGCACACTCAAAGTGAAATGTGACTTCCTGAAGGATGATCTTGCTCAATTTGGTCTACTCTTCTCCAGTTAACTTGCTGGAACACTAAACCACTATATTTCCTCTTGCTGCTGCTTTGCAATCTGCTCCAATATGACTCAAGTTATTTCTAGTAACACAATCCTAAAAACCTAGCTGATGGTAAAGTAGGGCTTTCACAGTCTCTTCAAGTATCCCAGAACACTGGCTATGCCACACTGGTTATAAATTTTACGGCAAGAACCCTGAATTTCTAGAGCATTAAAACTAGATTCTGTGGCAAATCAATTTTTCAGAGGTTTGAAATGTGAGGTGAAACTTTAGAGAAGTTTTTACTGTACTGGAGTTCACCATTGATTTAAATAGGACCACAGGCCAGTGAAAAGTGCTTTCGAAGAGCTTACTTTAAATGTTAACATGGAAAAAAATGGTTACCTGTCTTTCATAACTCTTGTTCTTTTAAATGTGTTGCTCATGTCTGTTCCAATAGGTGTGTGTTCACACTGCTTGCACGATCATAGGAGAATTTTTCCCTTAGTGGTACCTGTCAGGTTGGCTGTGGAGCCTACCTCTTCCGCCCACCCCCCGCTCCCCTCCCCAGTGTGGGAACTTCAAAGCATTGTCAATTCCCTTTGGCTCCTTTATTCCAACAGAGGGTAGGTGGGTAGGATTTGGAAAGGGCATGAGCTACACATTTAAAAGAACAGTTACGAAAGGTACAGAACAGTTTTTTCTTCGAGTGATTGCTCATGTCCATTCCAATAGGTGACTCACCAGCAGTTTCCCTGGAGGAGGTGTCAGAGATAAACTGGCTCCTGATTTCAGGACCACCCTGCTGAAAGCTGCATTGTCTTGTGCCTGCTAGGTGATGGTACACTGAAATGTGAAGATGTGGCTGGACAACCACATAGATGTCTTGGACAGGGACTTGAGTGAGAGATACCATTGAAGAAGCCTATAACCTCATGCAATGAGCTGTTATTACTGGTGCTGGGATCTTCGCTAGGTCATAACAGACCTTAATACAGGATGTGATCCATGATGAAAGATGCTGGGCTGATATGGGGAGGCCTTTTATGCTCTCCAATATTGCAAAAAAGAGTTGTGTTGATTTAATAAATGGTTTCATGTGGTCAATGTAAACTGCTAGGGCACATCTAACATCCACCTAACAACATCTATTGTTGACAGGGGCTTAGGAAAGAATACCAGCAGAAATACGTCCTGTTTCATATTCAATTGGGAAACCACCACAGGCAGAAACACCAAGTGAGGGCGTTATTGTAGTTTGTCTTTGAAAAAGAGGGTGTAAAGTAGTTCTGAAGTGAGAGCCTGGAGCTCAGAGACCCTCCTGGGCAAGAATATGGCCCCAGGAAGGCCACCTATCTGGAGAGAGACAACAAAGGGAAGGTGTCTAGGGGCTCAAACAGCAGACCCATAAACCTAGAGAGGACCAGGTTCAGGTTCCATGTAGAAACTGGGTCCTTGACCTGAGGCTACAACCTGTCCAGATCCTTTAGGAACCTCCCCACCATAGGGTTTTCGAGCCAGTACCACGTACACTGTGTGGGGGAGCCTTGGTGGTGCATACTTACGGTCCCCTGGAGAATGGCATCTGTCGGGGGTGGCCAGATGTCTCACGGGAGAACGGTGCCATGTGAGCAGGCTCCACAGCCAGCCCAAATGGTACTGCTAAGGGAAAAATTCTCCAGCGATCATGCATGCAGTGCACATAAACACCTACCGGATGCACGTGAGCAATCACTCGAAGAACTAAGTGAATTGTTACACAGTTTAGAAATCTTGTTTTTTCAAATGTTATCAGTGCCTCTCACATGCTCACAGAATTGAAATTTGTCAGAAAATCCAGCACGTGTGTGTTCAGGAACTCAGGAGGGCTTATGAAGATCATAGGTATAGTACAGAACACTCTACACTAGGCCCTGTTGATATTGGAAGTGGGAATAGGGCTTAACTGCTGGAACACAGATGTGGACTTACCCCATGATCTGAACAGACTTTTCCATTAGAACCAATAGGGCAGTTGCTTATGTTCAAGGATTGTATGGGTAGGCACTTCCTGTCTAGACACATCATGTGAGGGCCACATGGCGCTCCATCTTCCACGTACCCTAAATCTGTATCATCGTCTAAAAGCACATGAGCACCACTAGGAGAAGAAGTTTTAAAATACTATTAATACCATGGCTAGAGCCTTTTAAAATATTAAAACACAATAGTGGTAAGGATGTTAAAAGCTCTTTAATTCATTCATTCCTCAGAACACTATAGGGAAGGTAATGGCATGCACAAATTCACACTGAAACTTTTCTATTAATTGCAAACCTCTCACATTAGCACTGACATGAAGTAGCTGTAATATGGAGAAAAATTCTAGGTATTGACATGCAATCTTAATTTGTTCTTCGTTTCCATTTCTATAATGACAGTATTTTTTTAATATCCTACAGGGATATTTCCAGAAAACTCTACTAGTTCATGTGTATATTTATGTGCATTTTATGAGAAATGTTTTATGCCTTCAACCAGGGATGGGCAAAAGGGCCTCTGTAGGCAGAATCTGGCCCACCAAGTGGGTGGATCCAGCCGTGGAGGCCCTGTTGCCTTCAACCAGGGATGGGCAAAAGGGCCTCTGTAGGCAGAATCTGGCCCACCAAGTGGGTGGATCCAGCCGTGGAGGCCCTGTTGCTTCCCTGCCCCCAGGACAATTAGGGCCTGGGAGTGGGGGAGCGTTCAAAGCCTCCTGCCAGGAGCACACGGCGCTTTGAAGCACCACGCACTGCTCATAGGGCAGGGGGAGAGCAGAGGAGGCTTTGTGCACTCCCCTGCCCCCAGGCCCTCCCATGCCAGGGGCATGGGCAACTAGAGGGAACGTGGGGAGGGGGGGGGCAATGGCACTCCCTCACCCCCAGACCAATCATTGTCTGGGGGTGGGGAACCTGGAAGCATCTTGGTACCACCCCTTCCGCTTGATGTCCCGCCCCTTCCTGAGTGGCCCGGAGCCACTTCAAACATTTCCGAAGTGGCCCACAGCAAAACATTATTGCCCACCCCATCTTAAACTCTAATCTCAAATGCACTGTCAGCTTAATTACATCTCTCAAGATTGTGGATTCTTTACACCCCTGAAAGACAGAGCTATGCTGATGTAACTTTTCACTGTAGACCAGTCCTCAGCCATAAACTTCTCCAAAGTTATTCCTTGAGCATATTCTTTAGAAAAGCTTCCAATACTGATTTAAAAATTGTCCGTGATAGAGGACTGACCATGGCCCTTGGTGAATTGGTTTGCCCTCATTGTCAAAATTTGACACCTTATTTGCAGTTTGAATTTATATAGTTTCAGTTTCCAGACACTAGATCATGTTATACCTTTCTCTACTAGCGAGAAGAACCAAACTCTGCGGAATTCCATGAGAAACATGCCCATTTGATGATGCTTCATTAACAATTACATTTTCAGACTTATGAGTTGGCCAGCTTTTAATCCATCCAGTTTGGTTATGGATAGAAAAACTATTTGTGTATGCTCTATAGTTTTTTACCTACAGTCCACCACACGTCCCTGGTGGTAAAAAGAGGTTGGGGTAATTTCTCCCTGAAGATGACCAATTCGTGGAACTCTAGTAAGATTAGCGCAGAGTAAAAAGCCACAGAACACATCACTGCAAAAGAAAAATAAAGAAAGGAACAAAGACAAAGTTATCAAATAAATACTCTTGTTATGACGAAGATACAAAATTCTGTGTCAAAAGCAATCAATGCATGAAACCAATATTACTGCAATAAATAACTTCAGGTCAGTTTCTGCCACTGCTGATCACAAAGTATTAATGTACTCAGGGAGAGGTATCACTATCATTGGTGGTACTACTCCAAGTAAGGTACTACTTGACATGAATAAAGATGGTAGAAGTTAGTCATAACCAACATACGGTGTTAATTGCAAAAGCAGAAACAAAAAGTCTACCACTTGATTAATTATGTATAGCATCATTTCCACATATTCGTCTGAACAAAACATCTATTTCCACAATAGTACTTGAATATCATATTAAAAGGTGCATACAAGTAGACAAACCATAAATAGTTTTGCTATGCCATACTACATTACATTGTGCTTTTTTTGGTTAGCAGTTTGCTTATTTTATTCCCTGGGTCATCACAAAACAATCATAAATATTATAAGAATCGATAATGTTCAGGGTGCACAACTGAATTCTTGGGGGAAAAAGATTGGTTTATCTCTGCTGCTTTATAACAAATAAATAACAATAGCCTACTAAGCTTCAAGCTGGCTTCCCTTGAATGGACTGCCCGCATTTTGCATCAAAGTAGCACACAACTTGATGAATACTACAAAAACAGTGTAAACATCTGTGTGCATTCCAAATGGTTGTTCAGTCTGACCACATTTGTGCTCCTTTTTATTAGCTATTTTCAAACAGCCAGGGAAATGGTTTTAGAATTTTTTTAAAATTTGAGTATTTGGGGGGGAATGGCTGTTTTTCACACATTAACAAGAGTATTCGCCATTCATGAACCTACTTTCAAAGTTTCAGTCACCCAGTCAGGGAGCAATACATGTCAAGTGACACATAGCAAATAGTTGTAGTGAACAAGTTCAGACCATGCATAGGTTGAAATGTGTTCACTTAATCAGTTCAATTACAAATAGTAAATAAATTAATAAACATCTAAGTCTACACCAGAATGATTCCTGAAGTGGAAAAATTCACTAAATCAAATAAGTCTTCTAACCTAGTTATATGCTTTCTCAACTAGCTTCCTTTTTGGAAATTCAACACATGCCCAAAACAACAGGGAGAGCTAAAGAAGAGGAGCTTACATTGGCAGGATTAGCAGAGCCAGAGGAAATGTTCAGTACTAAATTAACTGCCTCCATCCCATGAGCACTGTGGATACTTATCTCATATGGCACCAGCTACGGGACATCTTTGGATGCACATTGGTAGGATGAGACTTTGTCTTCCACAGATCAGTGCTCACTGTTATCCATGACTACGAGTGTTTTCCAAATATGTAGTCGTATCATATGCAAGGAAATCCAGCATGATGGAACTCAGTGAGAGCAGACTATTACCAAGTTGTCACCTCCCCTACCCATGGTGGAATTACCCTGAGATCGCAGGATCTAGCTCAGATTTCTTGGCCATGCCTAGAGGCAGAGCCAGTATGCATATCTTTGGCTACTAACAGGGGCGGATATGGGGCAGGGCGAGCAGGGCGGCCGCCCCGGGCCCCGCGCTTCAAAAAACCCCACGCATGCACCGTGGCAAAGGGGGGGCCCCGCAAAACGGTCATCTGCCCCTGGCTACTAACATCTCTGCTTGACTTTGTGTGCATGTATATTACAGATATGTGACTATGTGCTATGATACAAGGGAGTTACTTACCTCATGCGGTAACGAGTGTTCTTCGAGATGTGTGTCCCCGTGGGTGCTCCACTGAAGGGTAGGTGAAGGGTTGCACTGTAGGTGAAGGGTTGCCCTGAGCTTTGTATAGCAGTTTCCCCTGTTGAGCCACACATGCCCAGGAGGCGTGTCGAGCCCTTCCCGCCTCCTGAGGAGTGTGACTCAACCCCCTCCCTTTCAGTTCCTCGTCTCCGCCTGAGAATTTTGACTCCGAGCAGAGAGGAGGTAGGGAGGGTCGTGGAGCATCCACGGGGACACACATCTCGAAGAACACTCGTTACTGCACGAGGTGAGTAACTCCCTTTTCTTCTTCGAGTAGTGTCCCCGTGGGTGCTCCACGGTAGGTGACTACAAAGCAGTATTCAATGTAAGGCTGGAGGGAGCCGGAGTCATTGTTTAGCAGTGGTGGAGAGCACTGCTGTGGCAACTGCTGAATCGCTCTTGAGTTGAGGAAGGATAGCGTAGTGTTTAGCAAAAGTATGGTCTGAAGACCATGTTGCTGCTCGGTAAATGTCTCTTAAGGGGACATTGCCCAGAAAGGCTGTAGAAGCGGCCGTGGCTCGAGTAGAATGCGCTCGTGGTGGGCATTGTAGCGGTCTATTGCCCAGAGAGTGACATTTGATTATACATGTCGATATCCACTTTGAGATTCGTTGCGATGATATTGGTGTCCCCTTGGATCGTTCAGCAATGGAAATAAAAAGTCTTTCGGATTTACGAAATGGTTTTGTTCTTTCTAGGAAGAAGGCCAGGGCCCTCCGGATGTCCAGAGTGTGCAGGCTGGCGTCTGTCTGCGAAGAATGTGGTTTTGGGAAAAAGGTAGGTAATATGATCGGTTCGTTGAGATGGAATTCTGTACAGACCTTTGGCAAAAACGTGGGGTGGGGTCTCAGTATGACCCTATCCTTTGTGAAAACTGTGTAAGGAGGTTCTGACATTAATGCTC